GAATAAATGAAATAAAGTCTGCCAAGGAAAATGCATCTTGCCTTACAAATTTACAATTGCTTGCTCTCTTACTTAGGCAATGCACGCGGCTCCAATGTATATTGCTGAAACAGCTCCAAGTCAAATACGAGGACAGCTTATTTCCCTGAAAGAGTTTTTCATAGTTCTTGGGATGGTGGTGAGTTTTTCCTTTTTTTTCCTGAATAGGAAACGAAAGAAAGCAAATTCCCATGCCACACAAATGTTTCATTTTGGTAAACCCTTCTGTTTCTGTACCAGAATCAGTAAAAATCGTTGGACTTTATAAATAATTAGCACCACAAACAATCCTTTTTTAGGTTGGATATATAGCCGGTAGCCTTTTGGTGGACACCCCAGCTGGCTGGAGGTACATGTACGGAATTAGTTCTCCTCTGGCACTCGTTATGGGATTCGGGATGTGGTGGCTACCGGCATCACCTAGATGGATTCTTCTGAAAGCCATTCAGGGAAAAGAGGATGTTCAGGTCTTAAGACAGAATGCCATAGATTGCTTGTGCCGGTTAAGAGGTGAAGCTCTTGCAAGATCGGCCCCTCGACAGGTGGACGAGATTTTAGTCGAGCTTTCTCACGTGCGTGAGGAGCAAGTGGCTACGATAGGAGAGATTTTCCAGGGTAAGTGCTTGAAAGCACTTACTATTGGTGGTGGGCTGGTCTTATTTCAACAGGTATGTTCCCAGTGTAAAAAACTTGTTTATTTCTCTCTTTCTTTTTCTTTCTTGTTTGTTTTAAGCTCCTGCTTTTACTGTAATATTTGCAGATAACAGGGCAACCAAGTGTGTTATACTATGCTGCCACGATTCTTCAAGTATGAATTCCAATAGATCATAATAAAAGCTAATCTATACGTGATTTAATGTTTATACAATATTGTATTTTTTTTTCACCTATTTATGATGTCTTTTTATTAATGAAAGAGTGCAGGATTTTCTGCGGCAAAAGATGCAACGAAGGTCTCGATTTTACTTGGTCTACTTAAGGTCAGATTCTGACTCAGTTTCTGTTTGCTCTGCCATTCACCCTTTATCTATGTTGCTGATTAAGTAATCTCTAAGCATAACTCTTTAATTTTGTTTTAACTAACGTAGTTAGTTGTTGGCTTGTGCAGCTGGTGATGACAGGGGTCGCGGTTTTGGTTGTGGATAGATTGGGCAGAAGGCCCCTTCTGCTTGGAGGTGTATCTGGTATTGTAAGTCATGCTCTCAGGGATTTTTGTCTCGATATTCGAATAATAACTAAACTATATTTCTATTTTCAACATTGCTTGTTTAATGTGGCAGACAATATCTCTATTCCTTCTGGGGTCATATTACATGTACCTGGATGAGGTACACGCCGTGGCAGTTGCTGCTTTGCTCGTGTACGTTGGATGTTACCAGGTAGTACTTAATTTTATTTTTTTTTTTGGTTTTTTTTTTTTTCAATATGATATTGCATGTTTGGGGGTAATTTTCTAAGAATTAACAATTGACATAAGTGTAGTTATCGTTTGGTCCCATTGGTTGGTTGATGATTTCGGAGATCTTCCCTTTGCGTCTAAGAGGACGCGGTCTAAGTATTGCCGTACTCATAAATTTTGGGGCGAATGCACTTGTCACCTTCGCGTTTTCTCCTCTCATGGTGTGGATTGCTTTCATTTTATGTTATAAACACAAACGTCAAAAAGTAGATCCTAACGGAAGGCAATATTAATTGCGATTGCAGGAGCTGCTTGGGGTTGCAATCCTCTTCTTCATCTTTGGAGGCATAGCTATTTTGTCCCTCATTTTCATCTTCTTTATCATACCCGAAACCAAGGGACTCACACTCGAGGAAATTGAGGCTAAACTCCTTTAGCTTCTCTTATATTGCTTTTTGTGCATTAAATGTTCATATTATCACACCAAACATACATAAACTTGTATCGGCTATCGGGCATGGCTGATGAAACAATTCTATGTTCTTTTGATGTCTAGTCACCGCACAAAGGTCGCGTTTACTTCACTGTAATTTATGTTTATTTACTTCGCCTCGACTCCGTTTCTAGACCAAAGAGGTTTGATTTCTATGATCCTCTGTAAAGTCGCCTTAATCCGTGAAATATATTATCCGCCTAATTCAATCATCACAAAAATCCTCGTTTATCCTTCGGTGATATTGAAATTCTTTAAGGAAGCAATATACCAACTTGCTCAAACTTCAAAGATTATAAATAATGTTACCAGATGAAAGTGACGAGCATGTGTAAGAAACTTCTACTTACCACTTTTCGCTAACATATGATCAACAATATATCATATATATCAAGAGATGTGAACCTTAGTTGGAATTGAGTCCTTGTTCTATCTGCAAATGTATTACTCTTGCAACAAATTCTACAAATATTAATTTTATAACACCCCGCTAACTTACTAATATCAGAATAAAATTTTTGCAACATTATTTCGAAAATACATATAAATTTTCCGAAATCATTTAACTTAACTCGGGATGCTACTAAACTTATCTACTATGAAAATCTTTTCTTTTTTTAACTTGGTCTAAATGTTGGTTTAGACATAAAGAAAACAGATATATATAATCTAATCAAACTAGCAAGTAACTCAACCAGACCTGTCTAGAGATCCGATAAAATCTGAAAACTAGCATGCAAGTTTGATACTGAAAATAACGTCAGCGGGAATATAAAGCGTGACAAAAATATATACAAACTGAGTATGTACAAATGTCCACAAAATGGCACGTCTGCGGCCCGACCCGAACATATGAAAAAAAAAAACATAATAGTGGGGCGTGAGCACGAAAGTGCAAAATGCTCCGCAGAAACCCATACTAAAGTAAACAACAATAATAATAATATCATGATCGTCAGTATATATAAACTGAAACTGAAACTGTACTGTAACTCAATCTCCCGACAATCTGAAAACTCGGCCGGTAACTATGTGCACACTCTAGTGGAATATTAAGGCAACTAGCGGCCACCACTAGAACTTAGGGGGAAACTCATGGCAACTCGGGGCCACCACCCTAAGCGGATAAACTTAATATACATACATGCCTCGGACATTATATCAAATATTATACTCAACGTAATACCCAGCCTGGGCTCCCACCTGTACTTGTGAAACTGAAAATGGCAGTGCTGAACTTGAAAAACTGTCTCGTCAAACTGTATAAATATATAAGCAGTTAATATACTAAGTACTATGCTCAGAATACTCAATAAAGTGCTAAGATGCTCTGTTTTTAATTTCTAACTTATCCGGATTTATTAGAACGCTCTAAGGGTTCTAGATAAATTTATATTAAGTCCAGAATTTACTGCTATAACTTAGTTTGAATAGATTTTGGCCCGAAAAAATATTAAAAATCCAGAAAATATCTCGAACTGCTCACACGAGTCAAAAATAACTCGAAACGCCGGGCGAACTCGGTTTGCTTACTGACTGGACCGGACTGATTGAACCGGTCCTACACTGGCCCACCGTTTCACCGGGAACTGGGCGGACACTACGGACCCGAGCTGACACGACTCGGTCCCGTGCCGGGCATGCTGGTGCCCTGGCACGGTGCTGGACGCGGCTGGGCGCGAGACTGGGTGCTGCCGGGCACTGCTGGCACGGTCTGGTGCGAGTGCTGGCCCCACAGGTGCGGACAGACACGAACTTACCCGGGCACTACTGGCCGCTGGGACTGTGCGCACGAACACTGACTAACCCGGGCACTACTTTAACCGGACCTTACTGGCTGTCCGACGACTTTCTACTTAAACTAACATTTTTCAATGCAATAAGCTAAAAAATGCAAAGAAACCCTGATAGACCTCAGTTAGATTTTGAAGTGGTCCGATAGGGCCTATTTGGCACATATGAAACCAAAACCACCAAACAAACATCATCAACTGAAAAACTTACTCAGGGCCGAATACTTAGCTATAAAAATCATGCCTTTTGAAGCTAAAACACAGGCTTTTACTCGGGTATAACTTAACTTGACTCGGACAAGCAAATGAACTAAATTTCACAAGCTAATTGACCGAGTACCTCAACTCCAAACAAACTAATCTTTTACCAACATTAAAGATATGATTTATAAGGGCTATTAAGCTATCAATCTCGACTAAACTACACTTGCTACTAAAAATCCAAATTTAAGCCTTAATACTTCAAAAATTCAAAACTCCTATTTAAACCTAAGTTTAACCGAATTTCTTTACATGATAATTCTTAAAATATCATAAGAAAGCTATAAAAATTTAGTGTCCTGAGCTAACCTTCAAGGAACTCTAAAAATTGCGCTAGGGCTTCTTCCCGTGCCTCCCGTGAACACACGCGCATGAAAACTCCCTCGGCATTTTTCTTTAAATTTTCTAAGTGTTTTCTACCTTAATGAAGTGAAGATCTCTTTTTACTTTAATTTCTGGTTCATGTCACGAGTTAAAGAGGTGATAGCACATTAGGAACCTTTCTTAAGCCTAAGGTAAGTCCACATGGCCTTTGTACATGCTTTGGTGGCACTTGAGGTGCTTAGTCATGTACTTAGGTGTCATGACCACCTCATTCACCATGCATAACCGTTTGACCACCAAAAATGACCGAAGTAATCCACTTGCGCCATGAAATTTGCACTTGGGCTCGAAAATAGTGGGCTGGCGCTGGACTGGGCGCGCGGACTGCGCCGGCCTTGGCGCAGAGACGGGCCTAGACTGGCACTGTTGGCGTGAGCTGGTGTGAGAAAACAAACCTTGGGCCAAGCAAATGAAATTCTAAGGCTTATATGACTTGACCTATGATCTTAACTTAATGAATGACACTTAGAAAAATTTAGGAAGATGCTATAAGGCTTGGGTAAACTTGAGTAAGGCTCGGCACTGCTAGGGCTCGAAAAATGCTCGTGCACGGCAATATGAAGACCTAGGTGTGAGAAGGCACGAAATGCACTAGTGACTTGATTTGGACCGAGAACCTAACTTAGGTTTAAGGCTAATTAAAGGCTTAATTTGATAACTAAACACTTATAAGAATTTTAAGAAAAATACTATATAAGTTCGATTAGGGTTTGAGCTATACTCGGTATTAATTAAACCGAACTCGTTCGGTTTCTATCGTGACTTTATCTCGACGATTTATCGAAATATTCTCGACTTCGATTATCTCGTCAACTTAAAATAGTTAATCCCGACCATTAATGTCCGTTTATAAAAATAAACGGTTCGGAATTAATTACCGGAATTTGCTCGGTTACTGAATAAACTTAAAACCCAATCGATTTCCGACTTAATATCGAACTTATAACTAAATGACTTACTAACTTGGCTCGGAGACTGGAAACGAGCAATATTAATAAAAGTAAAAATAGTTTGAACTCGGAACTAAAATTTATTACTTTTATTAACAAAAAAAGGGGATATTACAAATTTAGTTAAAATAATGTTGTGGGTTAAATAAAGATTTCGTAGA